TAAACATAAATCTGTCTGCGGTTTTTATGAAAGAAATTTGGAAATATTCAAAAAGTTATTAATAGTTGCACATCTCTAAAAGGCTCTTACAAAGACCGATCGGACACAATACCTACTTATACTATTTTTAAATAATTAATCAAACTACTTTTTAGCAATAAAAAAATGGTTAATTTCAATTCTGATCATTTTTTTCATTCGAAATAATTCTCATAAGCAATTAGTTAAGGAAGTTAACAGAGCTTTCTCAATTTGTTTTTACAAAGTTCAAACATATATACTCATTCTAAAGACAAAAGATAACAAAATATCTCCAGTACTGTTTACTAAAGAAAAGCAAAAGACATATTTTTTGACAAATAAGGATAAGTCTTCAACTTACAAAGATTGGACTGGATTGGATTGGCTTATTTGATTATTGCAAAGCGAATTAGCCTTTTCTGAAGGGATATGCCTTCTTGTAGAGTTTCCTAAGGAATTCGTATTTATATTACATATGAGGAAAACCTCAGTAACATTCATGCAGCTAGCCCAATAAGCTAGAATTCAAATACAGATCGAATTCAAGTACAATTACCAGTGTTCAGTGGGCTTATTATCTCCCTAATGGTGGATTATATACTAGAGAGACTCTTGAACAAAAGAATGAACATAAAACAAAGAAAAGGGTTAGCTATGTAGAGTCGTTAGATTATTGTAGATCAGGAGACATGAAAAATGAGCAATGCCCTCATATGGAGCCGAACGTGGACCTCTAGAATACGCGTCGAGTGTGCTACCGTTACACTACAAAGGTATGCTGGAAGCAGAGAGAAAATACCTCATACACTCCACCTCTTAAAGGACGACTGAAGATTATGGGACCCAATTGCCAAATCCTGGTGGTGACGAATTATTGTCCATCACCTTTTGTAGTTTGGCCGCCACTGTAGAATCATTAGGTTATTTTGCAGCAGGAAACATGAGAAATGAGCAATGCCTCGGAGCTGGACTCGAACCAAGGACTCGAACCTGGACCTCTCGAATAAGCACCGAGTGTGCTATCGTTATACCACGAAGGCATACTGGAAGGAGGGATAAAATATTTCCTAGATACAAAAAAGAACTTATTTGTAAAGCATAATACAGAAATAAGTTTTTAAAAAAATTCCTAGCAAATCAAATTATTAATTTGGATGAAATGGCTCATGATCAATGAAAATACAAAAAAGGGGGAGAGGCAATTTATATGAGCTAAATCTGCTTATTTAGAAAAAACAATTCACTATATCTATATATTTATAAATGTGATGTACAGCTGCTTCAGAATGTTGATTATTTACATGAATGGAATTATAAATCTGAATAATTAATTAATTATAATCTGAATAAAACTGACGTTATTTTGCTGCACCTTAGTCGATAATTGCGTGATGTATTACAACTGCTTCTATGTACCGAACTCCAATTCTAAATGTGCATGCTGATTACACACATAAATAACTCATTATGTGACTGATTTCCTTCGATTTACCTTTAATTATTCACAAATCATTCCAGAATCATTTCTTTTTACTTCTTAAAAATATGTGCATATTTTAAACTTTAATAATAATTTCAAAGATAAATCTATGAAAAGATACATTTGAGGAAAAGATATTTTTCCTTGAAATAACAGAAATAAATTACAAATATACATTTCCTTGTGTCATGTAAATATGAGAATAAATCGCCTAAAAGCAATCCGTCCTGATCGTCTTGTGACACTGCCTTTTAATGGTCCTTTTGAAGTGACTGCTGAATATGGATATGCGTGCGCAAAGTCTACGCAACAAAAATTCTAGTAAATTTCAGTTAGTCCATAGCACTAACACGAATAAAAATTCAACTCGTCGAATTTACTCTAAAATTGAAAGGCTTTTGTGCTATATCATAGTTTGAAAAATAAAATGAAACAACTGCTTCATAATGTCATTTTGGATCATTTTTGTAGCAAGCTGATCTGATAAAACAAACTTCCTCTTCCGTTCTCTAGTTGTAGGTAAAATACTTGCCAGAAATTCATGCTCTAATTTCTACGAAGCTAGATGAATGCTTTCGTAAATTACTTCTTATTTTGTGTGTCTTTTACAGTTAAGCACCGTTTATACGACTTTCAAAAAACCGTTAAAAAAAGTATTGAATGAAAAAGACATATAACAGAAAGTTTAATTTAGTATGTAAGACACATTATATTTTTTTAATGAAAAAACTTTAGCTTATTATTCCTCTATAATAATATTACTACTCTCAGACGACTTTTGTTATCCTACTTTCACATTATTTAAAATGATGTCTGTATTTAAAAAAAAAGTTTTTAATGTTTAAAAAAACTTTTTTATTAAAATAAAAGTTTTTATTTTTTAAAAAATTACAATTGAATTGCTACTTAATCGCAAATTTTTTTTTAGTCCAAAACGGCTTTGTCCCTGAAGGACTACTGTTTTCGTTTTGCGATTTTGCGTTGAATCACTATTAATGTGTCCGTTTCACTTTTCGAGCTGTTGCCATCAAATGTTAGAGTCCTGCATTATATTTAAAGAAATTAAATAATGAAAAATATGCAAAAATGTGTGTATATTTCTCGCACTGTGATAAAACAACGGTACATAGAGCCATCGAATTTTGAATGACGTAATCCTCCTACGAATATGGACATGTGGAAGACCAAATTTGAAATTTGGAATTTGTTTTATTATGGATTTCATATTTTGTAAAACTTTAACGAATTTTTTATTAACAAACTCAAGGATTTCAAAGCGAGCCATGGCAACGTTGTACAGAAAAAAAAAAAAAAACATTTTTATCTCCAGGGTGTGAGTCTCTGTATCGGAAATTCTAAGGGTATGCTCAATTTAAAACTATTTTGCGATATTGCTTTTGAACTGAATTTTGTGCGAAGAACGCGATAGTTAATAAATAAATATAACATATAAAATGTTAAAAAAACGCCCCTTTGGACGCAATTTAAAATCTGAAACCTTGCGGTTTTGTTTGTTTGTTTGTTTGTCAAATCGCATAACATTTAGCATCAAAGTAACAGCAGTTATATTTTTAGTTCCAACCACCCACCTTGAATAAATAATGTCTTTCCAAGAAAATCTAAACATAGAGGCAAAACTTAAATAAAACAGAAAGTAAATAAGCGTTGTCTCGCTTGCCTTTCGATTTTTAGAGCTTTAAGCAAAGCATACCGTGAATCAAATTCAATTCTTGAAAAATCCTTCTCAATAGTAGAACGGCAAGCAAACCAATTTCTGAGAGTGTCAACACAATGCATAGCATCTTGAAAATAAAATGGGACTAGTATTCGCTCGAGTAGGATAAAAAAAATTAAGAATTGTACTTAAATACATTGTAGCGTTGCGCGCCTCCAACTTGCACGCAACCAAGAGGTGACTGTTGAGACTGGATAAAAGACAGAGTCTTGTTAAGGGTTTAAGTCCCTTTTTATTCAACGTAATAAATTACAAGTGCGTGCTCTTGACGCTCACAAACTACGCCAACTTGGCGGTAAAATAAAAATAATAACCTGAAAAGAAACTAAAGACAAGACTCTAACTACGAGGCTCTCTAAAAGTAACTAACCTCACCGCGTTTTACAATACCGCTGCTAATTCAGCAAACTTGAAGATCACTTGAACGATTAACAATTCTTCCAAGCCAGCACACAGGCCGAAACGCGGAGTTCTTCAATTTCTGGCTAACTACCTCCGCGCTCGTGAAGTAAGAACAGCACACCTTGAACTCGTTTCCTTTCTATTTAACTCAGAATACTTCCGCTGATAATTTGAATCCTTGCGCGTTCTACTAAAATTTACATACTCTGGCATTGGCAGTTCCAGGGGAAAGTAAGGCTTGACAGGAAAGATAGTTCAAACTTAAAATAAATGTTAGTTAAAATAAATATAAACCCTACAATATATACTATATTTATAACAAATAAATGCATAATATCGACAGTTCTAAATTTACCCTGGTTTGAATTTTTAACAGTAGCGTTACATATCAAACATATCATATATTTTCGACGTAAAACGAATTGCAGTTGTCTCAAACTCGCGACCTGAGGATCATATGCGGCCTCTAAAACAATTCTCTGCATATGTTTTGATTATGTATTTATTGTAAATACAAAGCATACAGTTTTAGAGACATAAAGACATTGTTACTAATTTTGTAAGTAGATAGATTATTTTAGTGCAATTATTAGTCCAAAATGATTTCACTTCCGAAGGACTATTACTTTCGTTTTGGCATTTTGCGTCGAACTCTTTAAATGTCGATTCACTTTTCAAACGGTTGCCACCAAATGTTAGAATCCTGCATTATATTTGAAGAAATTAAATAATGAAAAATCTGCGTAAATGTATGTATATTTCTCGCATTGTGATAAAACAACGGTATCTACAGCCATCCAATTTTGAATGACGTAATCCTACCGCGAATATGGGCATCTGAAAGCCAAAATTTGAAATTTGGAATTTGTTTTATGATCGATTTCATATTTTGTAAAACTTTAACGAATTTTTGAGTAACAAACTCAACGATTTAAAAGCGAGCAATGGCAACACTCTACGGGGGGGGGGGAACCTTTTTATCTCCAGCGCTTCGAACTGTGTATCGGAAATTCTAAAGATAGGCTCATTTTAAAATTATTTTGCAATATTGCTGTTGAACTGAATTTTATGATTTAAAGTGAGAAGAACATGATATTTAATAAATAAAGGTAATACGCAAAACATTAAATTATTTTATAATATTTGTAAATGTTTACTCGACTTATAAATTATTTTCAGTTTTAAGTAAAATAAAGCGAAACTCAAACCATAGCCAAACGCATGTTCAGTCAGTTTATATATACATCATATGAAAAGTATTCCTTGATTACCTTTTATTGGAATTTATTGGAAATATTATAAATGAAAGCAATCGTTTAAATACTTTCTTCGGTTGGTGCTAAAAGTTTAATTTCCTTACAGGCTGCAGTTCATCTGTTCTTGACTTAGGAAATATGTTGAGAGTAATGACAGGTCGGAATCCCTTAGATTTTGTAAATTATGGAAACTGGTGCGGACTCGGCGGAAGTGGCCCCGTAGTGGATAAAATCGACAGGTATGTTTTTACAATAAGAAAAATACAGAATTATATTTTTAACGTTAATTATGTCCTTCAAAAAGCATTACATTAATTGCTTGTAATGTACTAATAGTAGTTACATCTGAAAATATAATTTCTTAATGTTTAGCGTGTTGCTGTCTTGTTTAAAAATTCCTCATGAGAGCAATGCACAAATATACATTCCATTTTGTTAAAATTTCAGATGGATTAGGTATACCAATTTTGTTATTTTTTGTTTTAAACAGCTCCTCAAATTTACAAATAACCTAGCGTGGTTTAACAAATAACCCACATGAATTCCGATTTAACAGCAAGATTATAAAATATTTAAAAACAGCATATCTTCAGAATTTCTGATACACGGTCTCCCGCGCTGGAGTTGCAAATGTTTTATTTCGTACGGTGTTGCCATTACTTGATTTGAAATCATACAGTGTTGCCATTACTCGATTTGCTAAGTTTATTAATCAAAAATTCGTTGAAGTTTTACAAAATAGGAAGTATACAATAAAACAAATTCAAAATTCGAGCTTTGAAGGTGCCCATACTCGGGTGGAGGACTACGTTTACGGACCTTACTCAAAAGTTCATAGCTCTAGATACCGTTGTTTTTTCACATTGCCAGATCTATACGTGCATTCACGAAGATTCTTCATTATTTATTTTCTTTAAATATAATACAGGGCGATAATACTTGGTGGCAACAATTTCAAAAGTCATACAAAGCATTTAAGAGTTTCGACGCAAAATACCGTTCTTCAGAGAGATCTCATGAAATTCTGCTATTTCATTACTTAAGTTTCGCGTTGAATGACAAGCAATGACTTCTTTTACATATTTACTTGCATCAAAGAAACAAAATCACGTGACATGCTCAACAAACATTTCATGTTGCAAAACCTCCATAAAAATAACAATACTTTTCTCGACACTAACTTTTCATATGAAATATATCATTTTGATCATCGAACTTACCTTATTAATAAGTTATAAGTGATTGTTTATAATTGGAAGCTTACTGTTTCTTTAGCAAAATATATAATTTATACTTTCATTAGATGCTGTAAAATGTTATAAGGGATTGTTTATAATTTGATAAATTATAAGTTAAGTGATTTTATGATTAGTGATTGATAAGTTTTCATGTGGTAAGTTATAAGTGATTGTTTATAATTTGAAGCTTACTGTTTCTTTCGTAAAATATATAATTTATACTTTCCTTAGATGTTGTAAAATGCACGACTTCTGCTACGATAAGGCCTCGGATACTGTGTGCGGAGAAGAAAGACCGCATCTGGCTGCATACACTTGGAAATATGCAGCAGGAAAAATTCATTGCAGTGAGTGTTTTGCTGTTATTGCTGCATACTTAATGGCCTCAGTGCTAATAATAAGTTCATATTACCAAAAAAAAATAATAATTATGTTTACACCAAATAAAAACATTCACTGTGTATTCTTTTACAATTTTTCATTCTAGCTTTAAATTTTGAAATGTATTTTGAAAACTATGAATCAAGGGAAAAACATCCATGAAAACCCAAATCAGTTTAGAAATTTTCTCTTATATCATCAGTAAATTAATAGATAGTGCTGACTTTGTCAGAGTATATTCTCTTCATCAATTCTCTTCATCAGAAATTCTGCTTTTTTTTTTTTTTTTTTTTTTTTTTTTTCTCCTCATACAGAACGTGAATTCCAGCTAGTTTTTATTAAACCATTCTTCCCGAAGATATGCCTTTCGAAGCAAAAATCCTTCGTGTATTTTGGCGCTTAATCATCATAATAAGCACAGAGTTTTATTATTTTAATTAACCAGTTATTATGATTTAGACCTTTACTCTTACTTCTTTCCGTGTCAGCGCCAGAATGCAAATTAATTCGCGTGTATTTAAACTAATGTTCTTAGACAGTAAGGCAAAGCGTGTTCTGCCTCTCGAGGCCACGTTACTAAGTTGTTGCTAGCTCAGATAAGTTCTGCATTCTTCGGTCTTGAATGATAATTACTGATATTTGAATATCTACGCCGTTTTGGTTAAGAGCCAACTTCGCGTTAAATTGCATTATGTAGTCTTTGGCTACTAGCTCATTGTAAATTTAAACTTACTGTTATTTAAATCATCTCGCCAGAAGTGTTGGCTAAGTTGTAAACACCAGACGTGCCTTCTGTTCTTCTTAAGTTTTAATAAAAGGTCCAAATCGTTTTCCAAGTCTCAACTGTTATTTTAGACCTGGCGATAATTTGCTGTCAGTCTATCTAAAGTTTGATTACGATTTATGATAGCTAAAAGTACTAAACTTTATAAATGGAAGTAAATTTTATTAATTAAAGTTTTTAAAATGACTTCAAAAAGTATGTGTAATGTAAAATATTCTTCAAAGCTATATTAAGAATTAAATTATTTAACTGAGTGCATTAATACTGTTAATATGATAATGTTAATATTAGATTTGAGTGCATATTTAAATTTAAGATGTCAAATAATAAATTAAAATGTTTATATTTCAACAAATTTGCTTCGTCCCACTCCATACTCAACTATATTTTAAATTGGAAGATCATTTAGTCTGTATTAAATCTAAATCAAGACAACAGGTTTTTAGTATCAGAATATGGTAGCAAATACTTATAAAAATGGCCCAAAGACATGCGTTCAATAATTTTACAAATTTGACAATTATTTTCGTGTGATTTTCAGAGTAACATTTTCTTAGCTGAAATAACTAATTGTCTTTTAATCGCTGCAACTATACACCGCAAAGATGACATCCGTCCTAGTTCGTGCCGTACGGAATTGAACGTCATTTCTGCGGAAAGCAGTTACTTTGGCATACAAGGCCTGTTGTTCAGTACATATTTTTTTTTCTTTTGTTACAAGATATTTTGAATAGCACAGTATTACGGAAATTTTTAACTAACAAATAAGCTTGGCCAACGAACAGAAGAGCGAATATGATCCTTGAAGAAATGTAACAATGTTCCATGCACCTCATTGGCTGATATAGAACCTATAGAACTAGCTTTCACTCACATACTTAAATGGCGCTAGCATAATTCAAAAATAATATTCCATATTGCCCAGAATATTTCTTGTAGGACAGTTGCACCAAACATAAACTCTCGCACTTCTGAACATATACATCGCTGGAGCAAACATGCACCATTCATTGTCTAAAACAGTGATCGCCAAACTTATGAAGCTTCTGAGTTAATGTGCCATTTTTAAATCCTGCTGGGAGCTACCAAGCAAAAGAACAATCAGTTTTTTAAAAAAAAAAAAAAACCTTACATTTTCTTATTGCCTATAAACTTACATTTCTAGTAAATATGAAATAAATTTTAATTAAACTGTATATAAAAAATGGTACTGAAACTGAATTGTACTAAGAAAGAAAATGATGTTTAGTTGATAATAATTAACAAATGTAATGACAGATTTTTTTATCAGACTTATTGACTTTAATCAGAAGGACGGAACTCTTTTTTTTTTGTCATCAACAAGTTTTTTACTGTTGGGAGTAGGTGGTGGCTACTATTCGAATACAGTTGTCCAAGTGTTCATCAGTGAGTCTGTTCCTGTACTTATTTATTCATATTGAAAAAAAATCTCACATATGTAGAAATGTAGAGCTGAATATTGCCTTCACTTTGAGACAAACCTAGACCAAAATTGGGTCATTTTCTTTAGGAAGAAGAGGCAAAATATTTTCACAGCTTGGGGAAAGCGATTTTACAGATATATCGTCTTGAAAATCAATCAGTTCCAAATCTACTACAACACTATATCTTCTTGAAAATCAAAATGCTCCATAACACAAGTAGAGAACTCTTCAGTATTAATCTCTGTAAAAGGCGATTTGACAAACAATTGAAATTCTTTTGAAATTTTGGAAGTATTTTTTGAATTCATTACTTTTTTAAGAACTGCTACAGTTGCATAGCACAGTAAACAGACACATTTGTCCTTTACCTCGGTAAAGAAGTAATCGGTTTCCATTCCGAATGAAAGTGATAAGTTTTCCCCTTTTTGCTTGAACACACCATCGTTAGAAAAGACCTAGCTTCGTACCAATGCGTAAATCGAACTATACAAGTTAGCAAATGTCTAATATACACATGAAAAACTTAACTTGCACAACCTCCTGCGTATACAATCAACTATGAGAGGAGGTTGACAATGGCAGTTGCGATGGAGAAATAAGCAGTTGTCGAAAGCGTCAGCACAGTGGTGCAATCAAGGTTAGCCATATGTCTAATATACACACGAAAAACATAACGTGTACAACCTCCTGCGTATACAGTCAAGTATGAGAGGAGGTTGGCAATGGCAGTTGCGGGGGAGAAACAATCAATTGGTAGTCAGCGTCAATCCAGTGGAGAAATCTGGGTTAGCCAACTGGAGCGTTAACTCGATCTACCGAAAATGTCCTGCAAGCTACTAGTAGCTCGCGATTAACGGTTTGGTGATCACTGGTCTAAAACATGGGTGGAGAAGAGACTTGCTTCTTATAAAGTGTATTTAAAATAAATTAAATTTATGTTTAACGTATAAAAAATTGTTGCATTGGCGACTTCTTAAAATGGTGAATCTCATTCAGTAAAGAATATGTCTTATTACTTTTTCATATTTTATCTATTTATTCATTTACTTCCTAAATTTAATTTCTGCTATAAAGTACTTTTGAAATGCTGGAAAAAAATCTCTGAAAAAAACATTATCAAAATGAAGGGGTTTTGAGTACTGTAACATGTTTAAGGAATTTTCAATCTGTAAGGAAGGCAGAGACTGCGTTAAAGATGAACCACGCTCTGATATACCTTCCTCTAATACTAATGAGCAGGAAGAGGATCAAATCCGAGATATGGGTCTCGATAGGTGAAGAAAGACCTAAAAGACTATATTAAAGTCGGTTAAAAATCAAGGCAATGTTGTTGTTTTCTTTGATGGCCATGGTGCTGACGCATCATGGCAGTCGGTACCAGCTAGTGAAACTGGACATTATTTACGCAAGGAATATTGTTTTCAATGTTCACGGCGTTTGTGTGAAGCAGCTCATTTAATACGACATTCTGAATATTCTGAAGTGGCATAGTATGACCTTTTTCTTGTTTCCATGGTTATGACTATCATTTCGTAGTCACAGTGTCAAGTCTAACATAGCAACCGAAACAAAACAAAAATATTCGCTGACAAGTTTGAAGAAAACAACTGCAAAACATATTTCGGGTATTGGAAAAATATGTTTCGAGTATTGGAAAAATGTTGGCATACGAGCATTGCATTTCGAGGAGAATATTTTGATACAGTTGTTAACCAGTAAATTGAAATTTTGAGTTTTGTTGGAAACATTCCCGAAACTTTTTTATTGTTCTAGTATATTTATTTTGAAAAAAAAACAACAGAACTATCGAACATATTATTAGTAACAAATTTTTCATAGCTAAGAATAGCATATATCCTTGAAGAAAAGTAACAACGCTCCATGGACCTCATTGGCTCAAATTTACAACCATTGAGGCTCGTCTAAAATAAAGTAAATTTTCTCTGTGACTTCTAACAATTTACTTAAATCTAATAACATAAAAAAACCAGAGCAGTGATATGCAAAACCACATTTCAGAAGAAGAAAGGATGAGAAAGTGATTATTTATATTTACGATTTGCGTCTGCTTAATCAAAAGACAGCTAAAAAGCCATAGTAGTTGTATCGTTATGATACTGTAAGCTAAACTATAAACGCATTAATTCCAATCAAATTTTCATCTTACTTACATAAAGCTTAAGTTTCTAATAACCACTCGTTGTCGAGAAACCTGCTTGTATTGCGCAACAAATTACTTTATATTGCCGTTTACAAATAAGTAATTCTAGAATACTTGCATTAAATACAGTCTGGTCTTGAAACTTTAATTGCATCTAAATCTTTTACAGATTTACTATCAAACAATGGAGCATCGAAACAGATATCTCAAAACTGAAAGACGTAATACATTTATATTTATCTATATACGGAGTGAGTCTAAATTGTATTCACAAAATAAGAGGAGTGATACTACCCATCCATATGAACAATAAATACCTTGGAACATAAGATCGTACTCCACTCTGAGTGGCAGAAAAAAGTAAAATCAGAATTCCAACATGAATTTACAACAGTGTTGGGAAAGCTAGTGAACGATACCAAAATTTTCATAATCTGATTTATTGATCAGAGAAAAAATCACAGCAAATGCTCAAAGTGGCGGCCACGCTTGTAGTTGCACAGTTCACACCGGCGAGTAAATGACTGGAGCACCCTCTCGAGGATTCCTAGTGTTGCACTAATTTTGTCTGCGGCAATAACGATTCTCGCTGCGACATCTTCAGCCGAGTCCACAAGCGTCTCGTATATTAAAGATTTCATATTCCCGCAGAAGAAAAAGTCCAGTGGATTGATGCTCGGTGAGCGAGGAGGCCGAACCACAGGTCCGCCACGTCCGATCTATCGTGCGGGATATTCTGCTTCTCAGAGTGGAATGCAAACCTATGTTCTACGGTAATTATTACTCATATAGACGGGTATTATCATCCCCTTATTCTGTAAATAATTTAGACTTACCCTGTATATAAAATTCTAATTGCAGCCAAATGAGGAAAATAAATGTACTGTTAGAATACATGATTTTACGAAAAATATTTTTAATTGAATATAAATTACATTTTTTAATAGTTGGCTTTGAATAGTAAATTTCCATAAAAGATGAAGCTGAATACGGCAAAGCATATGAGAGTACGTTCCTCAACTGAAAGATGCTTTCGAGGAAGAACCCACCATTGGATTAAACGGTAAAGTCGCTGAGCGCTGGTGCCCGAATTTGTATTTAGAGTGTTTACTTAAATACTATATTAATAAAACGTAATACAATAAATAAAAATTCTAAACTACCCACGCTTTTGTCGCATCCTCTTTTGACATCTAGGATTTGCCGAATCTAACAGAAATGTATAATGGTGTTATTCCCAAAAGCAACCATATAATAAAAAGCTCAGCATATTTGGAAAATAAAAAAGTATGGTTTCTTAGAGACTAAAAGGTTTTAGTATATCAATATACTTTAAAATCATGTACAATCTTAAAAAAAAGGTGTATTGGTTAGCAGCAATATGTTTATAATTTCATTTCGAACTCCAGTAACACTCTCATATATGTAAACATTATATTCTTCCTTGTTTCAGATAAAGTTGACCGTCCCTGTGGCTTAGCATCCTGTCGTTGCGATGCAAAATTTGCAATTTGTGTTTCTATTTACAAGGATTCCTATGACCCTCGAAATAAAAGGACCAGACCTATATTCAGCATTATATCCAACATTGCACAGTTGCATCCGACCAGGAAAAGCAGTGAATCTGGCATTTCCATACGAATTGGATGAACATTTATCCTTAGTCAACTGCAAATATGTGTGCCAGGACATATTACATTCTATGAATGTAACTAATTACAATAATCTATCAGTTTAATTGCTGATGTGAAAATTGTACATAAGTGTATCAACGTGATGTTTTTGTTTGATATCATTTGTTACATGCAATTGTTTTTGTTTTCCTTAATTTTAGAAGTGTTAATGTTATATAAATGCAATGAAGCCTTTCATAGCCGTAACCCCCCGAGAGGACCACCTCTAAAAGTGACCAGTTTTTCTAAGAACATATGAAAACATAGGTGCTGAATATTACTTCTCTAAGAAAACCATCAAAAGACCAAAAACATCTGGAACTAGGGATGGCCACCTTAGAGAGGGTTCACTATATCTAATTTTACTTAAAATACAGCAATTATAATCATAATATCTTATACAGTTTCCGAAAACTTATCTTAGAGGCAAAAAGAAAGCTTGTGTCACATAAAATCTTGTCAAAACCTAAGGACAGATTACTACAAAAGGGTTATATCAGGACATAGTCCAAAAATATATTTCAAGAAATTACAAATATTTCAGAATATTAATTCAGAAGTCAAACAACAAAAATCAGCGTTAATTTACAAAATTTTCACAGGACTAGTTTCGATGGTTTTACCGAACCATCATCTTCAGCTGCAAAACAGCAAATGAACAAGATAGGAAATAATGTTTAGATAAGATAAGAAAGCCTGGACAAGAATAAGCAAGTGGCGCCATCTGTTGGCGAAACCAGAACTAAAACATAATTTCTCTAAAAGCCGAAGGCAAATTTGGATTGGAATTAGGATCGTTAACTAGAACAGAAAGATTTTTATGAATGTGAATGCCCTCTAGAAAATCCAGTTCTCCAATGGAAGATGTTTTTTGAATAATTTTGGCAGCAGAAAAATGGAAAGTGTGATTTTTCGGACCAACAATGTGAGCAACAGAAGACTTCTGTGTTCCCTTTTTTCTCAACATATGCCTCATGTTCTTTGACGCGAATTTTAAGGCTCTCTTAGTTTGGCCCAATGTAATTAAAACCGCACTGGCAAGGAATCCTATAAATACCCCAGGAATTCATATCCGGAAGGGGTCCTTGAGTATAGAAGTTGGAATTTTATTGATGGGAGAGTAAACAACCCGAAAGTTAAATTTCTGCAAAATATGTGCAACTTTATAGCTAATTGATGGAAAGAAGGGAATGACAACACAATTTTTATAATCTCCTAAAATAAGAGTGTGGCTTTTAGTGTGTTGAGATGAGAATTTTTTAACTGCTTGATTAATAATGTTGGGTGAAAAGCCCCTGTCAATAGCTATTGCTTTTAAATAATTTAGTTCTTCATCAAGGGCTAGTTTGGAGGAGCAAACCTGAAGAGCACGGAAAACATAGGAATAAAATGAAGCTAACTTTTGTTTAGTCGGATGACATGATTTAAAGTGTGGTGGAAGGCAAACCGATGAAGGTTTACGGTAAACTGTAGTACTGAAGTTGGATGTGTTACGTGTGACCAGAATGTCGAGAAACGGAAGAGAATTGCAAGTCTCAAGTTCAAAAGTGAACTGAATAGCAGGATCAATAGAATTCATTGTTGAAAGAACTCTATTTAAATCATCTTTATTACCTTCAAACAGGGTAAAAGTATCGTCTACGTAGCGGAACCATGCCGGGAAGTTTAAAGTTTCAATAATTTTGATTCATAATAATGCATGTAGATATCAGCCAGGATGGGACTGAGGGGGCTTCCCATGGCTAATCCCTCAGTTTGCTTGTAATATTTATTTTGGAAAACAAAATGTGTTTGTTTCAAACAGAGTTGAGTGAGAGAAATTAGCTCATCAATTTCGATGCAAGAGAAATGAAATTCGCGAAGTCTGATTTCTAGACATCTTAATGCACCCTCCACTGGGACATTGGTGAATAATGATTTTACATCAAAAGAAACCATGAGTAAATTACGAGGAGAAATGTTTTTAACCTTTTTACAAACTCTATTGAATTTTTTATGGTGTAAATGTTATTGTCTAATAGAGTGGAAAATCTAGAAACTAAATATTTAGCTAATGGATACGAGGCAGTACCTAAATTTGATACAATAGGGCGGAAAGGAATACAATAGGGCGGAAAGGAATTCATAAAAGTGGTATTCCTTTCCGCCCTGTTGTATCAAATTTAGGTACTGCCTCGTATCCATTAGCTAAATATTTAGTTTCTAGATTTTCCACTCTATTAGACAATAACATTTACACCATAAAAAATTCAATAGAGTTTGTAAAAAAGGTTAAAAACATTTCTCCTCGTAATTTACTCATGGTTTCTTTTGATGTAAAATCATTATTCACCAATGTCCCAGTGGAGGGTGCATTAAGATGTCTAGAAATCAGACTTCGCGAATTTCATTTCTCTTGCATCGAAATTGATGAGCTAATTTCTCTCACTCAACTCTGTTTGAAACAAACACATTTTGTTTTCCAAAATAAATATTACAAGCAAACTGAGGGATTAGCCATGGGAAGCCCCCTCAGTCCCATCCTGGCTGATATCTACATGCATTATTATGAATCAAAATTATTTGAAACTTTAAACTTCCCGGCATGGTTCCGCTACGTAGACGATACTTTTACCCTGTTTGAAGGTAATAAAGATGATTTAAATAGAGTTCTTTCAACAATGAATTCTATTGATCCTGCTATTCAGTTCACTTTTGAACTTGAGACTTGCAATTCTCTTCCGTTTCTCGACATTCTGGTCACACGTAACACATCCAACTTCAGTACTACAGTTTACCGTAAACCTTCATCGGTTTGCCTTCCACCACACTTTAAATCATGTCATCCGACTCTAAAACAAAAGTTAGCTTCATTTTATTCCTATGTTTTCCGTGCTCTTCAGGTTTGCTCCTCCAAACTAGCCCTTGATGAAGAACTAAATTATTTAAAAGCAATAGCTATTGACAGGGGCTTTTCACCCAACATTATTAATCAAGCAGTTAAAAATTCTCATCTCAACACACTAAAAGCCACACTCTTATTTTAGGAGATTATAAAAATTGTGTTGTCATTCCCTTCTTTCCATCAATTAGCTATAAAGTTGCACATATTTTGCAGAAAAATTTAACTTTCGGGTTGTTTACTCTCCCATCAATAAAATTCCAACTTCTATACTCAAGGACCCCATTCCGGATATGAATTCCTGGGGTATTTATAGGATTCCTTGCCAGTGCGGTTTAATTTACATTGGCCAAACTAAGAGAGCCTTAAAATTTCGCGTCAAAGAACATGAGGCATATGTTAGAAAAAAGGAAACACAGAAGTCTTCTGTTGCTCAACATGTTGGTCCGAAAATCACACTTTCAATTTTTCTGCTGCCAAAATTATTCAAAAAACATCTTCCATTGGAGAACTGGATTTTCTAGAGGCATTTCACATTCATAAAAATCTTTCTGTTCTAGTTAACGATCCTAATTCCAATCCAAATTTGCCTTCGGCTTTTAGAGAAATTATGTTTTAGTTCTGGTTTCGCCAACAGATGGCGCCACTTGCTTATTCTTGTCCAGGCTTTCTTATCTTATCTAAACATTATTTCCTATCTTGTTCATTTGCGGTTTTGCAGCTGAAGATGATGGTTCGGTAAAACCATCGAAACTAGTCCTGTGAAAATTTTGTAAATTAACGCTGATTTTTGTTGTTTGACTTCTGAATTAGTATTTATTCGGCGTGTTATTGTGTCTTAATTTCAGAATATATAAAAATAGAATTCTTACCATTCATTGAAGTGAATGGAAACGAGGATGACGTGTGTTAAGCAACAATAACACGCCTAACAAGTGTTAATTTTGAATCAAACAACAAAAAGCAGCGTTATATTTTCAAATTTTCACAGGACCAGTTTCAATGGTTTCACCGTACCATCATCCTCAGCTGCCAAAGCGCAAATGAAACAAGCCAATGAACATAGGAGAAGCCTCAGACAGGTCTGTTTGAGCTTGTTATAGGAGACTCAAAAAGTCTTTTTTTTTTTTTTTTTTTTTTTTTTTTTTTTTTTTGTCCCCACGTGATTTTTGACATTTTGCGATAATGCATGTGTTAAGGGATATACAGGGGGGGATACAGGGGGTTAAGGGATTTTCGCACATCATCACGCTGCGAGAAAACATGATTCACAAAGACGGAATAACATGTAAGAATAAAATTAATCAAAATCAAAAGGCTGAATTCAATCCAAAAAACAGGGAAATGATATGTTACGAATTCCATCCCTGGTGCTAATACAAAATGTACAAACATCAAAGTATCAACACAAAATGGCAGTTTCAAGCAATGTGCAGAATAACATGTTAGGCAGGATGCCATATGCTGTTGAAATAAAGTAATGCATACAAAAGAATGCATTCCTGCAAGGCAGATTCGTGTAGCCGATTATAAGCACTGTGTTAATTTATATGGACATAATTATGTTACATACAAATTTAGTATAGCGTGCGTGATTACGTCGAAAAGCTACAAATGCTGAACACCAATACGATTCTCTTGTATTTTCTGTGGTAAGGGTATCTCATTCTATATCTAGCACCTATGAGATTTATGAAGTTATTCATAGAGAATGATGCATGGTGGTACGGTAGCCAAGGGTACAGTATGTTCTCGATAGCGCATAAATATATATATATAAGACTGACATATCTCCATACTCCACATAAGGCCTGTACTACTTCTATAACAACAAATTTAGACAAACTTGGAAGAGTTTTTCTCACCACATGAACAGACGATTTCTAGTCTTAAACGTAATTTATGGGTAAGAGCTACTGTAGTATGATAAGCGCTCTGCCTAACAATACAAATTGTTAGTGCTCTATGTGCTGCTAATATAAATGGATACCTGCAAAGGACCAGATTCCTACAGGGCAATCTCATATAGCGGTGATAAGCCATCTTCCAAGATACGTTTGACTGATTAAGCATCTGTAGCTATTGCACTTATAGGCATTGGTAGAGTGACGTTGGAAGGATAGTGTTGGTAGGGTAGTGTCGGATATAGAATAGTGTTGGTTGAATGACAATGGTGACATCGTGTCTTATCGCAGATTTTTTATGCGATTTTGTTTATACTGTCTTAGAACATAAGGATGTTCTAAGACATGAGC